AATGTAAATTAACAAGATATTCTGATAGGTTATATTAATTTATAATAATTACAGAGTCTTTTCACACTTGGACATCTGGAATAACACATTTGATAATTTTATCAAACAATGTCAAATAAAGTCATCTTTACTAGACTATATACCTTTTGAGCAATTTGAAAAAGTAACAAAGTTAATTGAAGGTGGATTTATACTTTTTCATGGACAAGAGAAACTATTCATGATTATGATGGGAATAAAAAGGAATATAGTTATTTTTGGAGTAATGTTAAAAGGTTTAAATAATTCAAGTATCCAGGAAAGCTTTTTTGATTAGGTTGGTAGTTGTCATTTATAATAAAAACAAACAATACTGTATTATATAATACTAATTGATTTTATATTTATCTCAGGCAATAAATTATTGTAAAATTAAATCACATATGATTGTTGCTTGCTATGGTATAACTAAATCCCTAGATAATAGAAAATTATGCAATGGTTTTAAATTATCATTCAGATAATCATGCTGCTGCAAAGAATTTCTTTGCCATTCAACAAAAAATTTTTAAATGAAAGAACAAAATATATTGAAGACAGTAATGGTAAGTAATACAGATAAATTTTTTCTATAATATTTACTTTTGTAATAGGTTATATTTTTATATTATAAAAACACTATTATTAGCTTATTTTTTATATATATTTAGGAATGCAATGATTAAATTAAAATTAATGATTGTTTATATCTCTGACTTTGCTCATTTAATTATTTATCAAAATATTTACCTCAATAATGACATTAGCAGGATCTGATGTTTATAATACATAATATATATAAAAAAGTAGATTTTTTTAGAAATGATTTTGATACAATGTTTTTATTTTTATATATATAAACAAATAATAAATAAAAAAATATAAATGCTTAAATAACTTCATCCTTCACAAACTTTGCTTTGAAAGCTTCATATATCTTGTATAACTATTGAATAATTGATAAACAAAGCCGTTTATACCGAACGTCTTATTTCTTTGGATTCGTTAAACATTGCAGGCAAATTGGGGGATTGATATACAAATGTAACCAATCAAATTAATTAACGAATTTTATCTAATAATAAATTAACGAAGAGAGGGATCATGTCACGAAGGGTCAACACCCAACATGGGTTACCAGCCACAGTTCCACTTCCTCAAACTTCCTACAACATTTTAAGTGAGTCATATGGGTTCTTCATGAGTACTAGTAATGGAAAAATTAGCCTTATATACCGACTTTTTCCTAAATTATGGGGTACAATTCACCAACGTTTCATTGGATAAATTCCATATATTTACTTTATTTTATTGTGTAAGCTAATGAAAATAATGGAAATAAACAAAAAATATACTTTTAACATTATTCAATAGAAAAGGTAGAGTTTGTACGGTAGGCAGGTTTGTGGAAACAACAAGATGTATGATGTACGAAGCTTCCAAAGCAAGTTTTTGTAAAATATACTGATTAACGTTTATCAATTATTCAATAGTTATATAGGCGAAGTAATGCTTGCAAAGCAAGTATTGAAGTAAATATTAAAGACAAGATCTACGAAGCTTGCAAAGCGAGTCACAACATTGTTGGATAATGAATAAATAAAAATACCAAATATAACTCTATTGGCTTCATCTAAACAACTCTTCTAGGCCATGTATGCATCTTATTGCCGTGATTCAGTTGGATCATTATTCATACATTGTTAAAATGATTGCCGAAAGCGGTACGTTTGAAATAAATGGTTTGTTAACAATTTTTCTATCAAAGTTATAAACCAGATTATGATTCAGTAACAAGTATATAAAAATTTTTCTCATGTTGATTCGAATCTTAAATATATTTTATTATATAAAATTTAAATATTTACATTATATAATAAGAAAAAAAAAAGTATTTAAATCAAACTTTTTCAGATAATTCTTTTTCTTCACTACCATCTCCACCTTCGTCTTTATTTTCCTCCCTGTCTTTTTCGCCACCTCCTTTCTCATCACCATCTTTATTCCCACCACCACCTTTACTATCGCCAACTTTTTCCCCACTTCCTCCTCCACCTGGATCTTGACTTTTTTTCTCTAATAATAATTTTTGATCTTTAGGTTGTTTTGTTTTTTTACTTTTAGCGGTCCTTTTCTTTAACCAATCGTCGCCAAAACACGGTTGACACAATAACAATCTTGTGATTAATTTGAATGCTGTGTAAACAATCAATTCATCCTTGTTCAATCTCCAAGCGTCCGCCATCCATTGAACAATATTCAACAACGATGTCATAATAATAGCACAAATTGATACCATATATGTTGCCTTGGCAAAAATCGCCGCATTCTTAACCGCCAATGTAATATGTGTCGAATTCCCAGGTTGGATTTGGTCACCATTCTGATCTTCTGTATCAGGTCCAGGTTGATACCCTGGACCAATCGCTGTCTCGTTACCAGTAGCAAAGGGCTCTAATGCCTCATTTCGATATCCAATAGCGTAAATCGCAGCAACGACAATTAATGTTTGGCTAATTACACCAAACAATTGCGACAATCTGGCATCGAAACTTCGAATTGATTGAATATAATCATTTGATCCAGGAATAATCACATGTAAAATTTGGAATGGTCCGCCGAAATACATCGGACCATCAATGAGTTTTGGAATCTTTTTCCCCAATGCTGTATACGCGAGTCTAGCCAACCCAACTATTCCAAATAAGGAAGTTTGTAAGGTTGTTGTTGCACCAGATATCTTGCCTACCAAATCCAAATCACCAAAATCCCACTCGTCGATCTTAAACGATTGGAAAAACAATTTTATAAAAAAGTCCTGAACTGACTCAGAATCACCTAATTGCGTCAACCAACTTATAATCAGGGAGGTATAATATAATCCAATTGTTATAAAAATATCCAATTGATTTATACGAGCAGTGATCAATTCAGTTTCTTTTGCTCTTTCTTCTTTTGAATCATTATCAATTGCTTTTATACCTTCTTCTATGTTGTCTTTTATATCTAATTTCTCTAGTGCTTGCAAACCACCAAAAACAGCTTCCGGTTTAATTCCTACAATCGATGGTCCATCTTCACCTTCACCTGGCCCTATACTTTGAATTGTACTAATTAATTTTATATTTCCACCAGGATCACCAATATCAATGCTTGAATATTCTTTATCTTCTTTCTCAGGATCGGGATTATTTTCGGACATTGTTATACATTAGTATTAATTATTAGCAATTAATTTGAAAAAAAAGGCAAAAATTTTTATAATCAGTAAATGCTTTTTTAAATTTTTATAGAAAAAATTAATGAAAACTATCAAAGCCACACACAATCACACTCGCAAAATGTTGTTTTCCACACTGCCACACAATATATTAATATGTTAAATTATAGTAATTTCTAATTACAGTGTTTATTTATCTAAATTGCCATCGACATCGAACCAACCAAATCGATTAAAGAACTTTTGTACACGTAATTGCGCAAGAAATTGCGTAGATTAAAGAAATTTTAATTTGAAAAATAATAAATAGTGATTTATTTGATTAGGTTGATTTCTGAACATTCTTTTGGAGTTTAAATATTTTGCAATTCTAATAATTTATAGTGTTTTTCCATTTGATTATGCAGCCTTTTTATTACCATCAGTTTATGTGCAGTTATGTGGTGGGCCAAAATAAATGGAATTGTGCATAGAGCGAAAATTTTATAGGCAAAAAATAATAATATCATCAAAGAATATAAAACAAAGTTATTTTTTCAACTATATAGAAAAATATTTTTACATCATATTTTTTTATTGTGGTTTCACATTCCTGATCAAATTTTAATGATTCCCAATAAAAAATATAAAAAATTGAAGATCTATGAAATATACAAGTTGTTATTGGTTGTAATCCAATCTAATACTTGTAAAACAAATTACTCTGCTTTTATTCCATTTAAAACATCATCATATTTGAATGCAATAATTCCACAAGTTTTATTTTTAACCTGGCTACTCACGCTCAGAAGGAAATCTATCTATGATATTTACTGTCAAAAGAAATAGCCTTTCAGGAAACACATAAAATTTATAATGAACTTCAACAATTCAGTTAATAGGATCTCTCTCGTATTCCGTCTAATTCAATTCGTGTTGAATATGGTTTGGCATAATTTCGTTGTAATTGAAAAGATATTTCACATTTTTAAGTGTTCAAACCTATCCATTACATACTCTGGCACCACCATCATTGGATTTCTAGGTCAAGATCATCCCAATCCCGAGCTTTCGATTTCTTTGAACGTAATGTTTCTATTTCATTTTCATAAATTATAGATAGATTCAGCGGTTCCAACTAGTATTAAATCAATTAAAACATGTTGATGTTTTATTGAAATGTATATATATATAATATATATATATACCTTGTATTGATAAAACTTTCTATCTTCTTTCTTTAGACTTTGTGGTACCATTTGATAATATGGATTTTTCGACTTTTGATGTTAACATCTGGATTTTTCAATTATAATATTGTTGTACTTAAATTACTAGTTGATCCACTATTGTTGTTAATGTTGTTAAAACTGTTCTTTTGCATTAAAATACATTGAGAATAGGAGCATTATTAATGTGTTTGTTATTGGTTTTTATTAATCAATGTTTTAGTTGCATTATTAACTTCTTTAATTGTAATGTCCTTTCCGCCAACTACATTTTCGTCACCTTCAAGATTGTTCTGCGTGGTTGCTGTACCTAATTGATTCAGTTAATTAAATATGAAATGCAACTTTTTTTAATTGTTCGTTCACATAAATAAATACATGGTTCTTTTTGATTTGTAAACTCTTAAATGTATGTGGGTATGTCACACACATAATTAGTTACACCAATTTTTTTATAATTAATCAATTCACGATTACTTTAATAAAGCAACAACAATAATAAATAATAAATACACATACAACAACCACCCACTACCACCGCTATAAAACGAATAATGTCACGTGAATTTGACGTGGTTTTTAAAGGATGGCTCGAAATTTTTGAGATAGGAGGAGATTTGCAAAACATGATTGCTGTAGGCAGAAAATTTAAAAGAAAATTAGAATTAAACATCAAGAATGATGATGTATTTGTTGATAACTGGAAATTTTCCAAATTAGCTTTTTGTTTAAGGTTAACTTTTGAAGAGTTAAGTATATATATATATATATATATATATATATAAATACATAAATTTATATAAATACGTTTTAAATATTAATACAATACATGTGTTTTTCAAAAATATCAGAGTTAAAATTGACTTTGAGGAGAAAAAAATGATGAGGATTTCTAATACTAAAAATGAAAAAGATTATTATAAAACATTAGTGTTTATAAAAAGAGTCCTTAATATTTCACAACCTTTAACGATTGAAAATATATCAAAAGAGGTTGGTTGTCCAACAACAATTATTCAATATGCAGAGATTTTGCTTGAAGATTTTCAAAAAAATTGGTCACAAAAGCAACGAAATCTTATAACAGATTTTGAAAATGATATTTATAAAATTGTTGCATTTTATTGTTGTTGTGAAGCATTTGGAGTTCAAAAGAAATTTGATATAAGTCAATTAATCAAGTGTGATGGTTTCATCACGACTGAAACAATCTTTAATGAATATCTTAAAATTTTCAGAGGAAAAACGAAAAGTCATATTACGCGACTTAAAAAGATTTCAGGGGATGTTAGTCACACAATTAATAATATGTTTAAGACAGATAAAAAACGTAAAGCAAACACTTTCAATGATAAAGATAAGGATGCAAATGTTTATGATGGCGAATTAAAAGGCAAAAAAAAGAAATTTACAATTAACAACAGCAGTAGCAATAGTAATCCAATTATTATTATTACAAAGATACCAAAGAAAGGTCCGTTGGCACTTAATTGTTCAATGGTAAGTGTAAAAATCTATTATTATTTACTAATCGCTTATTATTGTGAAAAATAAATGAATAAATTTTATATTTAATTAATCACTTTATTGATTAGACTAAAGATCTTTGGTGGCATCCTGTAACTAACCAAGAAGTTAAAGAATATCATAAAAGATTATTAAAAAATTTTCGGAAATAAATATTTTCTTTAATTGTATAAAAATGTCGTGTATTTTAGAAAGAATTAAATAAATGTAGAAAATTGAATCTTTGTTGAATTAATTAATGCTGGATATGTTTTTAAATAAATATAATAGATTCCTAAGATAAATAAGTTTCTTTTTTGGTGGGTTCTGTAATTTTTTCCAGATCTTGAAATGAATCATTAATTGCTACGATTAAATGAAATGGCTGTTTGTTTACTTGGTAGATGGACATCACGTCGAAATTGTAAATCTGGCCAATTTTCAACATAATATCTTCATCTCTAACTTAACATTCATCATAAATCATTATATGTAAGTAACTATGGTTGTTTTTCTGTTGATATCTACTAAAATGGATTGCTGGACTCATGGATCCATTCATTTTGAAATCTTTGGATAGATTCCTATTGACAAATCTAACCAGAAAATTGTCTAGATAATTCATCTTCACTATTGCCATAATTTTTACTATTAATATTACTCGTGTGTATTGCGAATGTGAATATCTTACCTATAAAAGAAATCATATTACTTTTTTGGGGAATATTTCACCTAAAGAAATAAAATTTGGATTCCATTTTCATGAGTTCCGAATAAGCTTAGCGTTTTCATTTCCAAGTGAAGATAAAGCCATAAAATCAAGTTGATATATATTTTTTTGTTTTCAAAATAAATCTATTTTAAACAATTCATTTCATTGAAAGAATGTTTATAAAAGAAAAAATATTTGTTCACTTTTCTAAAAGGCAATTTTTTACAACAAAAATAAATTCACTTAACAATAATGTTAATAATCATAATGACAGCATTCAACAAATTATTAGTAAACATGGTGAACTTGAAGAATTTAAAAGTAGAACAGATTCATCATTATCAAGTAAGATAAAGGAAAGATTAGCAGAAAAAAAAAGTATACAAAATGCTTCAAAAGATCAAAGTACATTAAAAAGTCATCAAAATACCCAACTTCTTAATATACGAGCAGGAGGAGGTGTTTATGAGTCAGAGACAATAAATTATTTAAAAAATAATTTTGATGTTGTAGCCAAATATATTACAAAACTTGATGATTCTAGGATAAAGATTTATGGACAATTAACATTACCAAACAGTGATGATTTTCATATTATAATACAATGTAAAGATACATCAGCACAATGTGGACCTAATACAGTAAGAGAACTCGAAGGAACCTTGTGTCAAGAGCCACCTAATACAATTGGTATTTTATCTTCAAAATCAGGATTTTCCAAAACTTCAAAGACCAGATACATAGCATCACCTTGTCCTTTGATTTTAATGAAGGTTTTAGAGGGAGGAGAAATATGTGATTTTCTTGCTTTTAATAATGTTGCAGGAAAAATATTAAATGGATTAGAAATTTCAACAAAATACATACCAATCCATGGTAAACCTGGAATATTCAAATCAATACCTACTTTAATTTATAATGGTGAAATATTAGGTAAATTTAAAAATACTGTTTCATGAATTTTTAGATGTAAAACTTACTTTTTGAATATTTTTTGAAAAAGTCAAATAAAAAAAATGTACACATTTGATTATAAAAAACAAAAAGAAACCAAATATCAATAATAATTCTATAGAATAGAATATAGTTTAGTAAAGTGTTTTTTCCAAGAATCTGGGTTTTCTTTCCGACCACATAAATTTTGATGACATGGTAAACAATTTATATTATTAATATATATATATATATATATATATATTGGTTTTAATTTTAATAAAATCAACATTTAATGAAATTCTAATCATTCACATTCTTATCAAAAAGATTACCCAAGATTCTTTCTGATCATGTATGTTGGCCAAAGATTACTTTTGTCTTCATTATTGTATCATGTCTATTACAATATTCATGATGATTGTGCAATGCATTTGATGTTATTATTCATACATCATCCAAGTAATGATAATGTAGAAATCTGAAGAAAAAGACATAAATAAATCTGTTTCAAAATTTTCCAAAAGTTATTTTTCCTTCCCAATTGTAAGTTGTAGAATTCCTTAAAAGCCATTTCCAATAAAATAAATAAAACTGATATTGACCATAAGACTTACCTTCTGCATCTTTTAGTTGATCTTTATATTGTCTTTTTCTTTTAGGAATAGGTGGCTTTTTGTTTATCTTTAATAATTAATATATAAAACAAAAGATTTACATGTAATATTATTAATTAACGTGTTTCATAAAAAAAATATTCATTTATTATTAGTGTTGGAATTGGACCTGTTCTAATTCATGTCTGGACATTAACCATCAATGGTTTCACAAAATTTTTTTAAAAATGCCACCTATAAAACATTCTTTCACTGAATAATATATCATAATATTAAATGAAAAAATCAGTAAATCTAATCATTAGTCATTTTTGTAAAACTAAATTAACAAGTTGGTAACTTCTCACTTGAAAAATTGTACAATATTCAAGGAACAATATACTGAACATGAACAGGATTCTTTTTCCTGAAGATGAGAACAATTAATATGATGATGGTAATTTTTTAGCAACTTTTTTTATTAAGATAAATATAATTATTAAGCAAAATAAAACTTACAATTTTACATTTTGAGGACTGAACTTGATTCTTCATCTTCAATATGCACCAATGAATCCTCAAGTTTTTCAATTTTATCAAATTCATCATCAGCTTTGTCTGTAGGAAAATCAGGTAATAACAAAGAAAAATAAGTAATAATTTGCTCACCCTGTTCTTAATAAAAAAGCCAAGTGGAAGTTGAATGATATTTTTAATTTGAGAAAATCGAGCCTCCTATATATTTATCTTGATTTTTTTTTAATTTCGTTATACTTGAATTGGCTGATTCACCATATATATATATATTAATTCAACTCTTCTTACAGGTCATACAGATTAATTGATCTTACCAGAAATGTTTCACGTGAACAAAAGAGGCTCTGATTGGCGACGATCGGGTCTGACTAAAAAATTTAACCAAAATTTTAAAATTGGTGGACTAGATACAATTAGAAGTCGTATAGTCATGGCGGATTCATGGTTCCAGCCAAAAAAAAAATCCATTATTAATAGTAGGCCTGCTGAGTATTACAATAATACTGTTGGCGTAATTCCGTTAGGATTTAAAATTAATTAATCATATAACAGAAACATTTCTTTTTGTTTTATTAATTGGTTTTAATTATAATATTAAGTCGTTATACAAAGTTATTTCAAGGATTGTTAATTAACCAATCAATAACCTCATACCAAATTGTGAAATACAATAAATGGCCTTGCTTTTCAACAAAAGATGATTCACAACCTTCAATCTGTTCTGCAATATATTTACTCATTTCAACAGTAGTACCTATATCACCTTCACCATGCCATGCTTTACATTTCACTCTACTACTACTATCATCACCGTCATCATCATGATGTTCTCTATGTTTATTTTTACCAATATTTTTTAATTCAAAACCCCAATCTTTTCCCCATAATGAATATTCCCAGCATTCGGTTTCCACTTGACCTCTAGTATACATTTCCAATATACTTTCAATAAACAATGGTTCGACACCAGGGAAAGTTTCAATAATTTCTTTATCAGCCACAGGGCCATTACTTGACCCCTCACGTAATGATTTTACAGGATCTTTTAATGCATTTGATGCTTCCATGCGCGCAATATATGATAATAATGCACTACAATTTTTAGTAAGCCACCTATAAAAACACATTAAAAAAAATTTATATTTTTTTTTTACAGATTGATCAAAAAAAGAAATTAATTTGATTTGATTTTTACAAACCAAGCAATTTTAAATTTCCATGGCATCGATGTAGTAATATTAGGAGCTGAATAAGGTGCTGTTGAACTAATTGTTGCTAACTTTTTGATTAGAGGAAGTTCCGAAGGATTTTTATCATTGTTGTTAACAACGCCCAATTCGTGAGCAGCAGCCAAACCATAAGGACCACCCGCAGAATATGCAATCATTGAACAATGATTGATATTTTTTTTTAAACAAAACTCTTTAATATCTTCGGTAAAATCTAAAAAATTTCTATTAGCAAAAGTTGATAAACCAATTCCAGGTCTTTCCAATACATATAATTTGATTGTTACAAAAGGTGTATTTGATGATGATGGCTGACGATATTCTAGATGGATTTTATTACTATTACTATTATTGTCATTGTTTGGATTATTGTTAGAGGAAGGCGTGGGAAAATATTCATAGTTTTCTAAACAACTAGCTAAAACATAAGGATGGCAAAAAAATCTTGAACCTGGTAAACCTGGTATTAACAATATAACATGTTCTTTTTCTTTTGGATTGATCAATTTTTCGTCATAATAATGTTTAAAATTATATTCCATATAACCTAATTTACGATCATCACTTAAAGTTATTGATTCACCATTATCTTTTGGAAAATTTTCAATTGATAAATTTGGATAAGTTGGAAGTGTCGTTTTTGAATTTGAATTGCCCATTATTATTATTATGAACCAATTTAACACAAAAAAGATTGAACACTTGCCTCCAAAACCCGCAAGTCGTGCGACTTTCGTGCAGGTTTTTTGCCAAGATGAGTTTTATATTAACTATTTTTGTCTAGACAAATACACAGGTAATACAATTGTGATGTTAAACAAACACTATTGATCCCTGAAATCATTGGTATTACCAAGAATTTCAGGGATCAAAATTTAGTCATTTGTAATTAACAGTTTTATACAGTCAAACCTCGTCACAGCGGACCTCGCCACAGCGGATTTCTTGTTACAACGGATTTAAATTTTGTCCCCTTTTTTTACTAATTAAAAATATTTGTCACAGCGGA